CACCAGCGCTTACGACTAATACTCAAGTTATCAGATAGTCTAGAATGAAGGTCGACTATGGAGACACGTGAATAGTAGTCATTATGCCCGCCTAGCAAAAATATGCTGCATCTGTATATGCTTCTTTAATGGCAACATAGTGGCTGACGAAACTAGAGTTTTGCGAATCTCTTCAAGGTCAATCAGTTGAATTTTGCTATAACAATAAACCTACATACAAACGTAGGTGATATTCGGCTTGCAATTTAGTAAACGCGTCCATATTAAGTTATTTGTTTTAATTCTATCCAAATTCCTAAAGGCAATAGTTGTTTCAGTGGTGTTTTTTGGCTCATGCGATCACAGGATCAAACCAGTAGTATCATTTACTGTTATCTGGTCTCAGCGGCAGTTGACCATCCTGTTCTGTTATTGATGAGTATTGTTAGCAATATTTTGGTAAGAGGTACCACAATACAGTTTAGTGATATGAGGACAACTTGAGTAAACAAAGCACAACTGAATAATGCGTATAATATTGGTTACCAGTGTAGTTGAAGGAAGTACTGTGACAAATATCTCTAAGCTACACCGATGTGTGCAACCTTCCATTTTGATATAAGTAAGTAGATATACAAACGGACCAAACAAGGGGAACACGTCTTGCCATTGGTTATATTATATGTATTCCGGCAAACTTTTCTTTACATTAGTAAATAAATGCCTGCTAATTCAAAAAACGTTAGGGGTGTACGATCATACTTGTTTAGAATCTACAGTACCAACCCGCTCTGTGATTCAATACATGTGATTCACTACAAAATATTCTGAGGAAGTACATTATACAATGACGCCTATGTTGCTTCAATTTCAGAACTCAGTCAGTAGCCCAATGCATTATAATTTCTGTTATCTGTAGTTTGGGAATAGTAGCAGATAAGTTAAACAGAGCTAACAACGGTAAAGTTAGCAATTCGTAACGAGCAAGAGTGATAATGTGATAACCTAATTAAACGCGAGTGCTCTGCATTCAGACATTAGTTACGAAGGTAGACAATGAAGGTCAGAAACCTCAAGATTTTAATAGACAAAATTCAACTAATGTTTTCAAGAGTACTCTTGATAGCCGCCACAATGCATCCAATTGTCATTAGCCAAAAATCACGGTCGCTGTAGAGTTGTATGTAAATTGTCGAAACTAAATCGAGGCTGTAACAATGTACATATTATGATGAAGCCAACCAACTAGGATAACCTTCAGCTGTATTGTCGTCAAGCGGTTGCACGAGCACAGTGAAGACCATTGTGCACAAAGGTTGTATTACGAGACAAGTTTAGCCCACCCATTTTGAACAGCATGAGAACGTGATACAAAATCATTACTGTTCAAAAGTTGGATAGTGTTAGTTATCAAAAAATGAGAAACGCCATAATTTTACACACCGTGAACTTGCTAATATCAGGTTGAGGACATACCTTGCGCTTTTCTGATGAGTACATTTCTTTCGATTGTGAACAACCAACATACGTTGTTCACTTGATAAAAACTGTGTCCAATATCTGTAAGCGAAGAATCTACTGCTGCAAAATAACCGTTGGACGATATTTATGGTCTGTTATGAAAATAGATGAGGCGCATATCATTTATATTCCAGACGTGTAATTTCAAACCATTCACGTATGTGATCGTTTCTGACAATAATTGAGTGTTGACTCATACTATGGTGATTTTAGTCGGCAGATTTTGCTGGCTAAACTGTTTAAATATCTCAAGGTCAAAAAGAAATTATCTCGGTGTTAGATGGAACACCTGCAATAATTGACTTTGCTTCGCACAACACTTCTATTTACAAAAACAAAACGAACTTGCAGCCTCAGGTTAGTAGTGAGCAGTTCCGTAGTTGATTAATGCAATATCTGCGTTTCTAAGGTGGCTTTGTCGGTAAGAACATAATTGTACCTACATTCATCATCCGATAGCAATGATTGCTCATAACTTTAATTAGGTAAGGCAAAAATACGGTCGATTATCAGGAGACTACACCGTTATGTTACATGTTAGATACTAGATTTTTGGTCATTATCACAATGCCTAGATTAATCATTGTGACTTTCGCCTTATAGCCACATCATTCCAAATCTAATCTCAACGCTACCCGCCTCCTTTTTTAATGAGTCGCGCCCTATTATTCCTGGCAACTCGTCGTTTTGTGTTGCTTAAAATTTTACCAAGTTCAGCCATAGTTTGTTAGGGGCTTAAATCTTCAAAACGTTCCTGCAACTTCATGTCCACTATGCCAAATAAATCTTATTTTAAGTGAAAAATCAGCAACTTCATTGCAATCAAAACAAGTAAAACGCACAATATGACTTTTGCTCCAAACCCCATACAGTCTTTATAAGACGTGGCAGTAAAGTCTGAATGCACAATTATTCCGTATAATTAATTTGAACATTTCGTACCTTTCGAAATTTTGAACGAAACCGTTAGAACACAAACTGGTAGATGCAAACATTTCATATTCACTGTTTAGTACCTAAATTAAAATAACATGAAACGGTTTCTTATATTGAACAGTTGGAGGTGGGTGGGTTAGTTAGCCGTCTAGAATTGTATGGTTCGTATCCCATTCACTCAAACACGTCCTGGGTTGATGCGTTCTAGTGTGAAACGGTAACGCACAGCAGTCCAAGTGAGGTTAGGTTTGTCTGTCATGACATACTAAAATCTTCTGGATAACACTCAGCTGACAATGTTACGGCGATTCACCAAACTGACCGTCGGCTGTTTTTCTGTTGGCTGCCAAACTCTTTCTTCGGAAGTGCTTATTAGTTTGATTTTACAACACGTTTAATTTTGCTACCAGACGCTGAGATCGTGCAACAGCAAAGTACACAAACATTGAGGCTACTTTCCAACCGATTTGGAAACTCCCGCTGTGTTAAGTGCAGTAGGTAAATCAAGTGCATCATACTCAATGGAGTTGTCTGTGGTACTCAAGAAAGAGTAGACATACAATGTGACGTGTCAGCGTTTGGATTATTATCGTTGTTTGTTTGCCTGAAACTTTGGGTCCTGTAAGTTTAGAGTATGAGGACAAAGCGGTGAATGAGGGAGAGCCATGTGAACGGCTGCCCATCAGGTGGTAGTTATCAACAACACTATACTGAGATTGATCCAGTCAATGCCTCCTGTTAGAAAAATAACTACACGGCTTCACTTTCATCGTTGCGGAGCATGTAAGCGTTCCTTGTTTGTGGTTGTGTATTAACACCGTGAGCAACGAGACGCGAACAATTACACGACTTACTGTGACGAATCGGAGATACCTAGTTTGTGCTCTGAGGACAACCGTACTATCCAACCTCACCTTCCCTTTGGGCAATGTATGGGTCACTGCGACTGCAGGTCAAGAGGCACATCACTGGAGAATTTGAGATTTTTAGAGGAAGAAGGAGCTGGTTAAATGAGGATAGCCTTTAAGATGAAAAATACCCGACGCAGATCCACATTATGATAGGTATGCATAAAAGACTCAGCATTGAATCTGTAGTCTATTTCTTTGGGAAGGGTCGTGAACACTGGCCTTCACAGAACGATTTTTAGTTGTGACTGACTAAAAGCTGCTAGCAGTGTATTTCAACAGTTTTCCCGTTATCATTTCACAAGTACAGTTGTCCTCAAAAGATTACCCACGTTTTACGTTAATGGCGTTTTCAGTAAAGGGCACTTGTAAGTAACCACCGTGGATAGCTTTTTTACCCTCAAGTTCACTGCGTCACAGTTTCGGCCAGTGATTCAAGTGGTTGATGTAAAGATTACCGGATTATTTGCCCTCCAAACAGTGTATAAAATCACCCTGCGGAAACGTTTGGTTGGTTGTGATCATTTTTTCTACGGATTCAAATCATAAAATCTCTGTTCAAAGCTGTTTTGCAGGTTTTCTCTTGTATTTAGACAGTCTGTGAGTTTGCCATCCTGAAAAGCATTTACAGGACTGTTGCACCTTGGAACAGAAAGAAAAGGTTGTTGAGGAGACAACTTAACTATGTCATGAAGGGTGTAGAAAATCTAAAGGGAAGTGAAAAACTCACAAACCGAGTAAGAACCGAACTGCTCGACTGAAAAGTCAACATGCAGAATGCGTTGTTATTCAAGTGTGACATTTTCATGTCGTAAGCTACCAACAAGAATTGTGTTGAATTAAAATCAGTCAAGTTTAGAGAAAGGTTTCAGTTTATCAAGCAAGATAGCATCATATTTACCAGACAGGATGCATGGCCAGACTTCCCCCGTAGACGAGCACAGCACTAATAGGGGTATTTAGTACTTAGCACAAACGAGTGGATCCAGTATGTACCCTAAATGACAAGCCCACGCACAAGTTTCTTTCAACCCTGAATATCTACTGTTTAACATCATCTGAACCTGCATGCATCGGCATTTTCAACAGAATCTTAATGGAACTTCAACCGTGATTTTTGTTGAAATCCGCACGCTGGACTTTCACGCCAACCAATTTCCTCTGGTCAGATAACTGTGAATTATGCTGCCTATTCAGGCGGTGAATAAATTTTTACAGCACCTAGTAACACAAGCTGTATAAGCGGAAGCGCTTGCTGTCACCAAACTGAATCGACAACTTTGTGGAGGAATGTGTTTTGAATTATGGTGACCGATTAAGTGTGTTTGTAAAAACTGAAAATTAATTGCGTTTGACCATTCCTTTCATCTCCAATCGAGTGTCATACACACACGACTTTGGATTCTATGTGGGAACTTGTCAGTTTTGTATTTCATAATTTAAATCGGAAGTTGGGGTTCAATGTTTGCGCTTATGATACGAGAATCTTAATCGCTGTTTCCATAGTCTCATAAGAGACAGAGTAGAATCATATTTTAAAGTTCGTTCACAACTTCATCTGTATCCTACTGAACATCTAGAAGTACCACAATTACATTTCTGATAAGTGGTTTGGCTGATTTGATAATTTAGAAGAGACCCAATCGCGAAAAATTTGGACTTCAGCTGGATTCTAACCAGCAACAGAAACACTATGCCCAAAAGCTGCAAGCTCTCTACCAGCTGAGCTACGAAGTCACGCCGGAAGTTCAGAAGCTTTACATTTGGACTTAGTTGTTCATCTAACGAACTATGTTATATGGAATCCACAAAACGATCCAGCCGATTGACTGCCCGAGCAGGATTGCTGGATCAGTTCACGCTGAAATCCACCAACACTACCAGTAAGCACTGACTTCGTAGCTCAGCTGGTAGAGCGTTTTGCCGTTTTCCGGCATGTTGTTTCTGAAGCTGGTTTGAATCCAGCGGAAATCCAGATTTTTCGCAATTGGGTCTCTTTTAAACAATTATGGATACCTGATATTACTGCAACTTTGGCGCAAACATATGATTTTTTTGCTTGTATTCAAATCACAGGTCGTCACTGTACACGGTTTTGCTGTACGATATCGGCAACTGGACGTTCTGGAATTTGACGCGACCCGGAAATGCATGAGTGTCGTTCTCCAGCCTGCATCCTCAAAAAGTCGAGAGACTGATGAACAACCGCCAGTTATTATATTATGCAAAGGAGCCGAGACGTCCATGTTGAAGAGAGTGAGTTTTGCAAGAAACCAGTCCCGGTGACTACCAGGGATATGACATATCTGCTTTCACTTGTTCGGTCACGTCTGAATTACGCACGTACAGCGGTCAGAACTCTAGACATGCAGGTGCTTAATTATACGAATAGGATGATGGTCACTGAGGCTACACACTTGATTTGACCCACTTTGTTAATTTACCATATAGAAGACCACTGAGACTGAAGTATTTAACGCCCTAGCGAATACACAAGACAAGGTAATTCACTTACCTTGTTAGGACTGGATTGCAAGAAGAATTAAAAACAGCGTTAGTAAAGTAAAAAACCTGTCAACAGCGATCAGTTTTCGCAGCTATTGCATCTTCATTTCTTGCCGGTAGAAATTCTTCAGTCTTTAATGATCCACATGCAAACAACCAAATGTTTGTCAATGATCCAAGAGGGCTTGGTAGAATCCCAATTACCATTCAGTCACAATGATCAAAATGTGGTGAACCGACTTGACCTTTATCGGTCTCATCAGCACATGGCACGCCGGAGACTTGTGAAGGCAAGACAAGTACACAGAAACTGCTGGTTACCTTCAACCTATAAAAAAAGAAAGCCCAAAAGCTATAGAAATTTATAGTGAATTAGTTACGCAAATGTTTTTTATCATGGGCAACCGATAGACCTTGCTTGAGTTAAATAAACATGGATGACATTCATCATAGCCGAGCAGTGAAGATTGCGCTTGCCATTCTTCAAGGATAAATGTTAGCCCTTATGTTCGCTAAACGGTTGATACTGAACACCTAACCAACTGTCGCAGGTGAACTTTTTCACAAACCCAACGGTATTTTGCACACAAGTGAGAAGATTTCGTGCTTATTCTGAAGCTCATAGACTAGACGATATCTTCATTTCCGAGGTCGGGTTTCTCTACGTAACTGATAACTAGCCAAATACCAGTATTATATTTAGTGGAATAAAGACTAACCGTTCTGCTGCAATCCTTAAAGTTTCGAGATTGTCTTCAGAAGACTGTCACTTGATTCAACTCCTGTCTACAACAAACAATTCCTCCATTTAACTCTTCTGCTTAAATTAGGTTTTATTTCAACATGACCACTAGTTAATTCATTCTTTTCTGATGCCAAATCAGAAGTTTAAATATGCACTAACCGGAACGTGATCATTCATTTCATACTGGACATGAAACCTGTTGTTTGTCCCATCTTAAATCGTAGAGCGTGAAAACAAAACCAGACATGTTGCCTTCGTATGCACATTTCATGAGCAGTGAATAGTTGGTCCACTGCACCAGTTAAGTTACTGTGAACAGAAGCTGACGACTTTCTGGATGCTATACATTCTTCATGGTATAATTACGACATTCCTCATTTACGTGGTTAAACATGAGGGAATTCCTTCTATTAAAAGTCCTGACAAACCGCTCACAAGCTGACTGTGGTTCAACGCAATGTGTTTTGTACAATAGTCCAAACTAGTTCACAATAAGAAAATTTACTACATTATCTGGAAACTTTTCGAGATGTCACGATTTAAGTATTCAAGGAACATAACGGCAGCCACTTCATTCCATGTCTAACCAACCTCTTACATAAACAAAATTTAGTTTAACTCTGATGCTTACGGTTGGTAAATTGGAATCTTATTAACCTGTGACTTAGAATGGTCTAAGCGTCTTCTTGGATGTTTGCTAGAGTTAAACGTCGAAACACTTCTCTAAAACTTTTGTGGATGCTTACATTTTTGCGTACCAGTCGAACTGTCCACCTGCTGTTCATAAAAACCTGCTTGTAAAGAAACAGTAATCAACATCGGCATCTACGGCTCCTGGTTCTATAGTCGGATGCATTCAATATGATGCATTCTATACAATATGTGGTTAACTCAAGACGTTTGCTAAATTGTAAACAAAGTTCTGTATTATTGATGAGTACTGTCCCAGATATAATAATTTTGAAGTTATCAGCGGGAAAAATTTGGGCTTTGGCTTGACGGGACCAGATTCAGAAATAGCACACCTAAAAGCTGGAGACATTCTACCATGTGTGTCAGGAGGTCGCCCCAGGGTTTCTTTCGTTTATTACAATGTGTTTTTCCATACGCTTGGTTCGACTGTGTTAAATATGTGGATCACATGGTTTATCCAGCTGACTGACAGCTAAGCAAAACGCGTTTACAATTGTCTGGAATTATGTACAATGCATTTGTTTGCGTGGTTAGAAGAAAAACCACGTGACAGTTTGGGGCCTTCGCATGAAACTGTGAAATCCTTCTGAGAAAACAGCTAAACGATAAACATGAATATAAGCAACTCCTGATCAACCTACTCCAGTTTGTAATCTACATTAATGTTATAGATGATATCAGGGAACCACAACAATTAGTTTTGTGCTGTTGAATATATTCATTTGTTAGCTAGATCGGCTTGTATTTGACTGAGTTGGGCAGGTTTGAGTTCAAGTAGATATGTACAAATTAAACCTCTCTCATGAGTTCATCTAAATCCCAGATACCATCGCTTCAAGCTCAGTATATTCCCTTTCAAAGTTTCGTTCGAAATCGTTACTGACCTTTTTGGACACCACACTAGTCATTGAACAACACTGTTTGTTAGATAGAATTAAATATCACACAGCATATATTATGGTCAACAGACCTATTTTGGTAATCGTACACATGCTTTCTATAATAATGCGCCAATTTGTTGCGTTAGACAAGAGAAAACAAAAGAAGCCGTCAGCTGCGCACATCACCGATGATCACTCGCTACTCCTACAAATTATCAACAGATATTCTCAGACTGCTACTCTCAGCTCTGTTGTTGGAAAGGTTCAGGACAAAAATGGTGATCAGTTTATTTTTGCAGAATACAATTTTCTTCTGTATTGTATCTAGACATAATTAAGGTAGTAAAAATGAGCCCAGTGTCCGTAAAGACGTGCCAATCAAACAAACAGTGTCACCTTCTATGTTGTCAAGAGAGAAGCCCATAACATTTGTAGTCAACTCAACCTTATTGATGCTTCAGCTCATAATGGTTGAAGCGGATAAACCAACATCATACACCTTTTGACTAGTGTATCTTAAAAACATATGGTTGAATGTTTTTAGTGTTAAATTTGAAATGGTATGTAATATTTTATTCGGACTCCTGAAAAATCTCGAATTCAGTATGGATGAATTACATGATAGTAAAGCCCTTGTTTTTCATCGTTTTTAATTTATACTTCCTTTCAGTTTTATAGCTGGTAATACTGGTTACCCCTTTTTGTCTTTGATTCATTTTTGTGACTTTCATAAATATTTTTGCTAAGAGTTCTAAGAAGTATCCAGAATCGTCCTTGCCACAAACGCAAACATCTCTTTATCGACTTGAGGCAATATTTATTAAAAGACTCTTTCCATCATTGTTGACGAAATTTGTGTGTTGTTCATTTATTATCCAGTGAAGTAACAGCAGACAATGAGCATTGTTCATAACTTACTCCTACTGACTACCAGTAGGTTATCCATCCTTTCGCTAACCAACCAGTCTTACAGAAAATATTTAGAGATTTCTTTCCTGGTACATGTCGTAGATGTGTTAGCCACCGCTCACGTCTGCGAGAGGTGTAAAGTTTTGAAAGCTAGCGGATAGGAAGGAAAAAATTGTGGAACGTTATCCACAGATTTCAGTATGCATAAAGTCTACATTTCAAGTACAGCCACCTAGTAAAATTGATTGCATCCAACTCAAATATATTATGGTTCAATCAAACTCCTAATTTTATCAGCTAGCGAATCAGTTCAACATGTTCCAGTTGGAACTCTAGATCGAGATACCGTATGCAACAAAAATACAATACTAGTAAGCTTGAGCATTTGTATACCGCTCCTAACACATTTAACTGATGCATGCTTGCTGGAATTGCAACGGTACATAGGTACTGTGCATGAGTTTATGTTTAGAATTGGAATCATAAATCTTATAGACGCATCATAAAATCAAGGACTTGGCGTTACACCACCAAGTAATGGAGATGCTAGTTTTGTAACCAACGATCATAGGGTGCGAGTACTCATACCTTTTGTATCACTGACGTCGAAAACCCGGTAATAGAAGAAGGGTCAAGTTTTACGAAGCATCCTCGCTTTTGGTTGAAATGGTGATTGCGCGCAAAGAAGGTCAACAACCCTATCGCCAATTTTAGATCAATGACAGGCCGCGATCCAAAGGTATTATCATTTATCAGTTCAAAGTATCATATTTGAAGTGTAACTTTAGAAAAACATTCGCAGTCTTAGCAGTCAGCACTATGTTTTCTGTATGTGTGATTCAAACCATAGTGGTAACAACGAACCAAACATAAGATGTAGGAAGTTAATGATCATGGGATTTAATTTCCAAATCATGAAACACTTTTGAATTGGGAACTCAAGGAACTCGGAATTTAAGGTTATAAAAATGCCTGCAAGAACTGTGACCATAAATTGGTTACCT